TTTGATGTCATGCAACAGATTCGCTAGGGGAATTTTGTCAGACTCTGAGCACCCACTCTACCAGCAGCTCCAACCTTGTGTCTCCTCAGGTAAAACAAGAAGTCTTTTCAGAAGACTTTATGCACGTACGTCTAAGTATAAAAATTCCACTATACCATATTTAGCACGCACTCTATGTGATGAAAATAGTGTCAGAAATGAATTAACTAACCTTCTTAGCACCACTAAATAGACCATTTCCTTCAACCTTAAAGCATCATACTTTATTGTCATTGTATTTCTTATATTTATAATCCTCCCAATTTTTTTGTTTTGTTTATTTTTTCTCATAAGTGTGGACATAATTTAAGTTGTGTTATAACTGTTAATTTTGTATTTCCCCTCACTATACTATATCAACAGAACATTAGATCCAATAATCTATAACATGCTAAAGTTTCCAAACTGAATCGACAATACCGTTTGAAACAAACTCACTGTTATTATTATTATTATATTTAATAATCTCAATTCGTGCTTCGAATATTTTTGACTTTATGTCGTAAATGTGGACAAAATCCTCCGGTTAATTTTGTTTTAATTTTTAATTTTATTTATATTTTGAGTAAATCAGATGCAATATTGTGACAAATGCTGAGAATTCCATTCTGTATTATAAGTATTGTTTTTGGAATAAAGTAGATTATTATTATTAATATTAATACCTATGCTTCGATGATGTCTAAGGGTTGACGGGAAGCCATTTTAGTCGGTGGTGAGTAGAAGTGAAATTTAGGATGAGCACTTCGTCCCATTGAGGACTCGCCATCTGAATACACCTGCTGCCTTCCAGTGAGTGAGGGTGTTTATGGGTCGAGCTTCGGTAGTAATGTGGTGTGTGCTACTGATAAGATCTATCAGTAGAATGTAGATGGAAGCTGATATAGGAAGTGGCCAGAATTAAAAGCAACACTTTAAGTCAATGGCTGCAGAGGCAGAAGTGTTTATTCCTCAAATCTATTTCAGTTTACGTTGTGGACATGAAATAATCTCATTGGAAAACTCTCCGTTTCATCGTTTAACCTAGGGCCAATCGCCAACCAATCAGAACAGTTTATTCCCCTATGACCTAGCCGAGTTTTAATGTGGTTTAAAAAATGTATAAATATTATGCGTTTTTCTTTGATAAAAAAGTTAGTTATCAATTCTTTTGTCTTCTGCCATTACAGTAACACCATCATGGTTGTTGCAACGCGGTCGCAATCACATTCCTCTGATGAGTCCCAAATAGGAAGAAATGCGCATCCTGGACTCTACCACTAGTCACCATCAGAATAAAATGATATTTTTGAAATTAAGGTAATCCTTAATCACTCGATAAAGTCTAACTTCAAAGGCAAGCGGACTTGCAAAAAGCGCACTTAAGGATTTTGGGAGGCTGTAATTTGGTAGTTTGGCTATTCAATAGTTCAAAACTGTGTGTTAAGAGTTTGTGCCATAAAGAATACTCTAGTAAACTGCCTTCTAAAGCGAAGAATGAAGATTAGCTCTAAGAAAGAAATCCTGTACTTCGGCTACTCAACAATACTTTTACAACTGATGACTTCGGAAGAAAAAAGTCTACAGTGGTGTCTATCTAACTGCAGACAGAAAGTTGCTATCGGTGAGATGGTAAGAAAATCCACACAAACAAGACATGTATAAAAATGTTCCCAAGTCTCTCATAATTTATTAGATATCCAACAGTAATTAATTTTTTATCACCTAGTAATCTGAGATATATGTCTGATTTCCCACATACTGGAAGATATGAAAATGAAAAGCAATAAGTTGACAGAAGAAGCATCACAGATAGGACTTCAGGTGAACACAGAGAAAACAGAGGTGATGAAGATTCCTGGTGAACACCACCAACAGCAACAACAACAGACAACAATCAGCCAGCATAAATGGGAGGAATCTGAAAGAAGCAACCTCCTTCACCTACCTACCTGGGAAGCATCGTTTCAACTACAGGCGGACGGAACTGACGAGGATATCAAAGCAAGAATCGGGAAAGCAAGACAAGCTTTCACTACTCTCAAATCTGTGTGGAGGTCAACAGCACTCAGCATCAAAAATAAGATCCGGATTTTCAACTCCAATGTGAAGTCAGTCAATGCTACTATACGGATCAGAGACTTGGCCAGCGCGTCATAAAGAGCATCTCAAGCAAACTACAGACCTTCATTAACAGTTGTCTTCGCTCAATACTCAAGATCAGATGGCCGGCCAGAAAAGATCAGCAACAGGGGTCTCTGGGAGCGAACCAACCAGGAACCGATTGTGAAACAAATAAGTGGGAAGAAATGGAGATGGATTAGCTGGCCATATTCTGAGGAAACCATCAAGTGACAACACTACACAAGCCCTTGAGTGGAAACCGAAAGGGGAGCGGCGAGTTGGTCGTCAGTGCAAGGGTGGGTGACTTGGAGGAAGTCATGTGAAGAGGAGATGAAAACGTGTGGGCAGACTTGGAGCCAGGTGAAGAATCTAGCAGAGAACCGAACGCAATGGAGACGCACAGCTGAAGCCCTATGTTCCTTTAGGAATTATAGGAAATAATAATAATCTGAAAATGTTGACACTTAATCCCTTCATTGTACCCTTATAAATAAAATCATGTTTTTCAGAAAACTTTTTAGACGTTTAACACTATTCAGATGTTGAGGAGGTTATTGGTTAGGTCACGAGTTCAAACCCCTTTCATCTTATCGAGTTTTCGGCACCTAAGTAGTATTGCAGTATGTGCTACTGATAAGATTTATCACCAGTAGTATATAAAGAGACGTTCTTCGGCACTAAAAATATCAAATAGCGGAGAGATGGATTTTACGTTAAACAGAGGAAATGAACCAGTATTGTGGTGAAACATGGGAGATACGGTAAGAAGACAAATAAACACAATAGGAAGAGCAGAAGTGGCATAACACGAAAGATCTGTGCAAATGACGATTTCAATACTTTTGATTGCACACTAGTCAATAACTAGTGTAATGTGTCTAGTCCTATCTTCGGTGCAGACTGAATGCTATCAGTCATGTTTGCAATGTGGCCACCATGCTAGGTAGCTCGCCATTACGGTGCACTGTCAATTGTTGGTATTAGATGGTTGGAGGCAATCGGCAGGAAGCCTTGGACCTAGGTTTCGTGCTAGTTGGCACTCATCAGCAAGGCGTATCTGCAACCTTGAAGGAACTCATGTCCCTTCTGAGATTCGAACCCGCGTCACCCAGCCTGAATAGCTCAGTGGTAACGTCTCTGACTGCTGTACTGGGTGATGCGGGTTCGAATCTCAGAAGGGACATGAGTTCCTTCAAGGTTGCAGATACGCCTTGCTGATGAGTGCCAACTAGCACGAAACCTAGGTCCAAGACTTCCTGCCGATTGCCTCCAACCATCTAATACCAACGACGATTTCAATATATGGTATACATAATTTCCCTACATGCGTGCACATCAGATTGCAAATAAACATTCCGCTTCCAAGTCTCTTGTCTTCTCCCGTTACAGTATCACCAGCTCTCACACACAAAAGATGTGGTTGATTGCCAACTGCATGGAATTGCAAGTGGCTGTTGAGTAGCACATATACAGTACATGAGATGTCAGAATTCAATTGAGACTAAAGTGAGTGTTTTTATTGTCTCAGTTTACGCAATGCTATCGAAGAAAAAAATATTGCTCGAAACTTAAAGCCTCCCTAAATGTAATTATCAGACATACACTGATAAACCAGTTATAATACTATAGTTATACCATAGTGTCCACGTTCCAGACATTTATCAGTGCCGTTTGCAGTAGAATTAGATTGCAAAGGGATTACCGTTGGTCAGACTAAAACTTCATACTAATTTACGAAGTTCTAAGCGATGTAAGTATGTTTAAACTACCCATGCTGAGGTTGTTTCCGATGTTAAGAATCAGGGGTTGCACATTCTTGGTGATATGGTGCCAGCGCCTTCAATCATTGGCATTTTTCAGATTCTAAATATCCCCATCCTTTATTCTATCATTGTTATGTCAGAGTAAATGGATTGTGGATTATGGGAATAAGAACAAACAGTTTAGCGAATTCATTCACTTAGCTGTACAATCACAATAACACATAATTGTTTTTCCATGTTTGTGTATGTGTGTGCATGCTCATTCAGCCTGTCAAACATAGCACAAAAATAAAAATTAGTTTGGAGTATCGTCCACATCATCAAGATATTTCAAGACAGTGATGAATAATAATCAAGCGGTAACTAGAGGGTGAAGACTGTGAGTTGCATAATATGAAATAAATGTTGTACGAAAAATAGTAGTAATAACAGAACGTTGATAATAGCTGAACTTGGAATTATACCCAAAGTAGAAGGAGGGGAGCGTCGGAGGCGCAGCGGTCAGGACGCTCGACGACCATGCATGTGGTCTGGGGTTCGATCCCCGATAGACGCACTCCTTTACCTCGCTAAGCCAGTAATAAAGCCGATAAAGAGGAAAGGTTGGGTATGAGGCTGGCAACCCTATCCTGTAAAAATAAACACTGCTACAGAAGCTTGAAGCCCTATGTTCCACTGGGAACGTGAAGGAATAAAAAAAATGGATTGTTGCATACAGTTTGAAAAGAAACATTTCATGGAAAATAACAAGTCTGGGACGACAAGCATTAAGGCTTCCTGTTAGTCTAAAAATTAAATCTTCACCAGATGAGGAGGACATTCATTTTTCAGATTGATATCGGTTAGTGAAATGATATGTGGATAAACCAATAGTAAAAAGCTGAATATTTCAAAAAAGGCGCCCCTATAAAATAAAACAAAGAATGCTGTGAACAGCAAAAGTAACACTTTCATAATGGAAGTCTATCACCCACGCGGCTATAAGTTTAGTTATTACAAATTCAAAAAAGTGCCTTTTTTACCACTGCAAAAAAAACTTAAACAAACAAAAAATAGATTTCACTCTGAAATGACATTAGATAAAAGAACACTTACCCGGAATTTTAGATTGTATAAGTTTCACATAACTTATACTCGGATCAACAGCTCCAACCTCTGACAAAAATCCTTCATGCAGGCGATTCTCTACAAGATCTTGCGGTGATTGCAATGAACTATGACCAGTTGACGTCAATTCAACTTGATAATAGACATAATCAGAACTTCCGTGTAAATCCTGAGTATTTGGTTTGGTAGATATACGAGTAATATTAGTGACACGTTGAAATCCAACAGCTGAATGCAGGATTCCTTCTAAGCTGTTGCGTATGTGTAATTTCAAGGATGCATCACGATCCTGTGACATACCAATAGCATCACCACGCGATTCACCACTATCTGACGAAGGTAGAATACTTCTAAGGCGTAAAGCCAGTAAGACTGAATACACAGCTGAAAGATAAAAGAGGCGATAGTCTACGACAGTCAGTATAGTTCAACAGATATGATGGCGAAAACTCAACGTTTCAGTTAAAAATATATCTAATCAGTAGAACATTTAATAATCTAATAGTATTTTTAAGAAAATATTGTTAACTGACTGAGTTTTGACATAGAACTTAGCACAGGAGTTCAGTAGTTGAAGTTGCCACATCCCATGTAACACACGAAGTATTACAATAATCAGAAATGTAATGGAGAAAGAATAATAACACTAGGGTTTAATGTGTCCGGGAGTTCACAGAGAGTGAATGCATCTACGCCAGCCATTGAGAACGGTTTTCAGCCATATCTCCAGCAGTCGCCAGCCACTAGTTCTTAGCATTCCGAGAACTTCAACTAGGCAGTCTACACCTCCCTATGTGGCTGGCACAAAGTAATTGTCACAGATTTTAATGGACTAATGACGGGTTTTAGTTTGACCATCACTAACTCCTTTTTAACCTGATCCCGTGTCAGCTAACTTTTCCAAGTGGAGGAAGATGATGGCATGCGCAAAACGCTTTCTAGCCATTTAAACCGATCCAACTTGGCAAACTCATCGATTGACTTACCCTCCTTATCAAACAGAATATTATAAAACTCTGCTTGAAATTGATGAGAACGGTTCAAAGAAATGAAAATGATATTCAAGTGATTTGTAGGGATTTGATTGGTTACAGGATTTCATCATGAGCTGACATTAGTTAGAGAGCCATTGGAAAACCTGGGAGTACTGGACAGTTGTTTCGTCAGCCTAGTTTGGGACTCTTCATCAGTACGCACCCACTAGGATTCGAACCCACGATCTTCTGGTTACAAGGTGAGCTAGTTCATATACCATTAAGCCACTGGGACCCTATCCAATGGCCAGACCATGAATTCTAACTTCTCCAAATTCACGACATAGCGCGACCCCTAGCCAATGTCTTCGGCGAGTATTTGTCTTCACACCCGACCTGCTGCACCCTACTGGTCAAGACTTCTCACTAGAACCTACCTGAATAGGGCAAATTGCTAGTGAGCATCTCATCGATATTCAAATGTTGGTTTGTAGGGATTTGATTGGTTACAGGATTTCATCATGAGCTGACATTAGTTAGAATCGGGTTCGAATCCCGGTGGGTGCGTACTGATGAAGAGTCCCAAACTAGGCTGACAAAACAGCTGTCCAGTATTCCCAGGTTTTCCAATGGCTCTGTAACTAATGTCAGCTCATGATGAAATCCTGTAACCAAATGAAAATGACTTTTATGCAATTTTCACTACTAAATATCATGGAGTCACTCAACCAAGATTAACTAATTCAACAGACTGCAAAAGCTAAAAATCTAAATAACCAAAAACGACACACTCGAATAGAATAAACAATCAGAGTGAATGTGATTCAGTCATAACTAGACATACAATTGCTTAACCACTGGAAACATTAAGTTAGAAAGGTGTAGGCAAAAGATGGATGACAGAATATCTTTGTCTGCTGAAGAAATACTAACCATGTTTGACAGAAACACAACACAACAATGCCGGTAATAACTCTACTACCAGTGCAAAACAACAGAAAGGAAATTATAAGAAATTAGTTAATTAATTAATGCAGACCTATCTATGGTTCATGTTATGCAGCAGAATAAGGCTGAAGATGTAACCTACCTGAACGGTAATTTTACTAATTCCTATTACCCTCAAATTATATCTGATATGCAAACAGTCACCTCAAATAAATCTGGTTAGTTTCACATGATGACAGTCTTAGTTGGCAGATATTCACCGTTATCCCTAGTCACTAGTGATCTGAGTCCATTCAAATTTGTTTGTGATGATTAATATTTCGTTCTGCGCAAATATATCCTCAACCTACTTCCTGTCATCAGTTGCGATCAGAATACAATGACATGATTATTCTGCAACCTGTATATTTAAGTTGGTAAATAGTTTATCTGTGTTAAGCCATGCTTGAGGACTTTCATAATAAACAGGATTCAAACAAAAGTTGATTAGTATTATAACCCAGAGAATTACAAAAGCTTCTCTAACTGAGATGAACTGAATTAGGAAGTGAGAATGAAACAATTTATTTGATACAGCATGTAACGACACATTAATAATAATTGCATGGGTTTTTGCGCTTGATTTATTCCTCATAATCATATCAAAGTGATCTGATTATACTTCTTCAAAATACCAAAGTTCTGCTTTTATACTGAGGATGTCTATATTACAAGTGTCGTCGTGACGAACACCCAGTACAGCAGGCTCAATAAAATATGACTAACTGACTGCTTTCAACGTAGAACTTTGCACAGATGTATAGCAGTTCAATTTGCCACTCTCCCTCCATCTAGCCCACAAACCAAGAGAATAGAGTAAAGGGAGGCTCAAAAAACAGATAATAAACAGAATTATGAAGCAATAAGAATATTAATACGGAAGAACAATAGAATTTTATTGGATATGATAAATCACAGAGTGAACGCATCTGTGCCAACCATTGGTTTTTACCATCCCAAGGATCCCAAGGAGGAAGTCTACATCTACCTATGTGACTGGCTTAAACTAGATGTTGTGGATTTCGTTGACTGATGAAGCCATGTTTTGGTTTGACCATCACTAGCCGTTTTCCAACCTGATCCTATGTCAGCTAACATTGCCCGTCGAGGAAAGTGATGACTAGGCATACGTAACACATGTCCTAACCATCTCAACTGGTGTAAATTCACAACTTCATCGATTGATTTCCCCTCCTTACCTAGCACTCGACCGACACCTAACCTCAATATCGCTCATCCTATTATACCACCTAACACGGGAGATAGAACGCAGACACCTATGATCAAAGACAGCTAGTCAGGCTTTTACTATCTTCCACTTTCAATGGCCATGTCTCACAGTCATAAAGGAGGACAGAGTGGACTGCTGAGCAGTACACATGCCCTTCAGTAGATAGCCGGATATCACGTCTACTAAGTCAGAGATGGCGTAAACTGGCATATACGAAACGAGTTTTCTGTATACGTGCTGAGATTTCGTCAGCGATCAACCCGCTGGCGTTGGCTGATGCAACTTCCCAAATAAGTCGAGTGGTCAACACGTTCTACCACTTCACTCCCTATTTCTAAGCTAGGAGTGAGCCGATGTAGTCCAGTCCTGTAGCATCATCCTATATTTAGGCGGGAGCTATTCGCATGCCAAACATTCGAAGATATATCGCTGCTCAAGGTGTTCAGAAGACTCTGCATTTTGTCAGCGTCTTCACCTAGGATGGGGGACTATATCATCTGCATATTCTAAGTCAACAAGATTATCCTCTGGTAACAAGTCAATCCCTGTGTCTCTGAAGTGAGTTAGGGTTAAGTCCATTAGTACGTCTATGATGAAATTGAATAGAAATGGGGATAATGGGCATCCCTAATGGACACCACTAGTTGTCACCACTTCAGATGACAACTCACCATAATCTCTCACCTGACTGCATGAATTCAAATAGAGTGCCTTGATTACTGCAATGTATTTTCTCGGTATTCCTTTTACAGCCAAACATCTCCAGAGTACCTCTCGGTCGACAGAATCAAATGCCGCCTTAAGGTCAAGAAATATGACGACTGTTAGACGCCGGTAAGTATGCCTATGTTCCAGAATCTGTCGAAGGGTGAAGATATGATCAATACACCCTCTTCCTGGTCTAAAGCCTGTCTGGTTCTCTCGTGTTTGTTCCTCCCGTGGACCACTTAGTCTACGCATCATTATTGAGCTTAGAACTTTAAATACCATATTAGTCTAGCTAATCCCCCTGTGATTATCGCAGGAAGACTTGTCTCTCTTCTTGTATATCGGGATAATCATTGACTTACACCAGCCCGATAGGACTAACTCTGATTTTCAGTCTCTGCCTAATACCCTAGTTAACACGGACAGTAAACTGTCTCCACCGTCATTAAACACCTCTGGAGTCATTCCATCAGGTCCCACTGCTTCGCCTCGTTTCAGACTAGTGACAGCCTCTGTAACTGCTTCACCACCAACAGTCCATTTCAATTATATCATGATTTCATTCAAAACTTTCAGTTTCACAGACGACTATTTTCAAAACTCATGCAGTAAAATAAGATTCACTACAATAAAACCCAATAATGTAAATTACGACTTTAGATTTATGACAGAATACTAATGCCAAACTTCAATGAACTTTTGCCTTTAAAAAAAAGTACCACATTTTATGCCCAAAAACACACCTGTTGAGCAATCACCAACTTCAGCTGGACTGGCACGTGTACCTAAAAGTGTTTCTCCAGTAGTTACATTGACACAAAAACAATCATATTCATTGCATTGTCTAGCAATATATAAATCTGGTCTATCTGGACGACATTTAGGTACATATGCAGATACAATTCTCCCATCTTCAATAGGCTGGTAGTGTTCAGGAATTGAGGCTGTTTTATTGAATAAATGTGAAGAATCTTCTGATGGTTCCTTTGATATCTCTTGTAACCTTCCATTCTGTGATTCTTGCTGTTGAATCGCTCGTAAAGTATCCTCACAGTTAGCTGAATAAACAAAGAAACAAGTAAATGATAAGTAGTGTTTTCATAACGTTGTGACGAAATAAAAATGACCACTAGAACTATATTTGAACTGTCGTGATATTCAATACTATCCCTAAAGTAGGTAGGCAGTTTGAAAAGTTCGATCCTACGGATAAGATTATTGACTTGCCTCTACGACGAGGTAATTGCCATACCAAAAAAGAAAACTTGTACACAAATATCGCAAATTTAGTTACATAGAGCACCGTGCAAAATTATTCTAATACAATAGGGTCATATATTGCAGAGACTGTATATACTGCTCCTCTGAAACTTATCAGAAGATACTAAGTCAACTTTACGCTTAGCAATATACACATACGTTTTACTGTTTGCACCTAAGAGTTCAACTTTTAGATGGGATTTCTAACAAAAAAGAAACTAGAGTCTCCGTAAGAATTCAAGCGATGTATACCAACTCCGGTATTCTGGAGGTATGAAATAAATACAAAAAGTTATCGGGCACTTCTAATATATTTGTACACCAGTGATATCGCTCCGATCTCTTTGAGTATCATATTCTCGAATAAAAAGACACAAAATGCACAACTTTACTGAATATTTACTTTTGTTTGTGTGACAGTTATGTTGCAGTTCAGTGCAGCAAAAAAATGAAAATACGGCAGTTCACGTAAAATTCTCAAGCTCCCTGAAGTAGTATCCATCGTAGTATGTTGAGGAGGCATATACTTCGTTAAATATCATACACAACAATAGCTATTATCCTTTAATGGAAACTTAACAGCCTAATTTACACACTCTTCCAAATCATTATACAGAAAGAATGGTAAGTGACCTAAGCGAAATTAATACATAACTGTTATCCAGTGGTTTGAAGACTATAAACTGTTCTAAATGAGTAGGAACTTAAGGTAAAGCTCAATTATCCAGGTTTTTTTTTAAAAACTGGAAAACCCAGCTTTAGGAAAGTTTAAGGTTCTGCTAGTAATGCAAATATATTGGTGGAATGTCTACAAACCATCGCACAAACTGTAGTCATAACCAATCAATCACACTTCCTTTTTTCAACTCGCTTAATAGTAGAGTGGTTAGGACGCTTCTAATACACGGATAGTGTTTGTAAATTTCCGCAGCTTTAGTATCGTTAAGCAATGCACTGAAGAGAAAATATATATTTAAAAAAGTTGGTGAAGTTTCTGTGAGCCATTAGTTCGAATGTTGATGAAGTAACAGTAATTTGAGTAGAAAAGTGCTCACGCATAGACTGTCATTCACAGTGTAATATATAAACTGGTATGTGGTCTTACAGTTGCATAATGTAAACAATAACCCATCAGTTTAAGTTACCATGTTTCACATGAACACATTGAAGATGGTTCTCTAGCTGATATCAATCAGTGATCAACTCGTAAAAACAAAACTAACCCTTACAAACCACACATTGAAGATACTCGAAAAATTTTTTTTTTTTTTTTTTTGATTTACAGTGAGGCGAATTTCCGAAGAAAAGAAGGAGACGAAGAGAGTAAGTTTCCTCGCGGAATAAGGGAAATGAGGCACTTCCACAATCAAGATTCATCGAAATACAAGAAAGCAGCCTTTACGTCACTTCAAATGGCGTATTACTGATTTCGGTAGCGTTTTGAATCCAAAGTAGGAAATCCATGGTTCGTGGTACGGCTCAGGCCTAAAAAACACGCTGAGACCATTGAGTAGCATCACGTGCCAGATATTAGAGAGAGGAATTCTGAAGATGACATGGAGGAAATCATGTGAGGAGGAGACGAAAGCTTATGGACAATCGTAAAGCCAGATAAAACTACTGCAGAAAACCAAGTGAGATGGAAATGTGCTGCTGAAGCACGGTGCTCTCAAAGGAACAACAATAGTTACAACAAAGAACGTGTGGATATTGTTAAGTATATAAACACAAATAAGATCACTCAGTATAAAATTACTGAGTAAATGTAGCCCGTTTTTACTCCACTGGACCACTAAATTTATCTCAGTAAATTCGGCAAATCAAAATGTTTGGAAATAGCTAATGAAAACACTAGTGATTAACTATCCTATATTTACTTAAACTCATGAGAAATATTTCTTAAAGTGACTCTGAGCATATCTCGTTTTAAGTATCGGTTTCTGTTGAGGATTTAGTTTGATTGGTTAGAGGATTTCATAATCAGCTGACATCAGTTAGAGAACCATTGGAAAACCTGGGACTCTTCACCAGTAACCAATCAAACTAAATCCCTACAAAAACAAATACTTGAAAATTCATCTGATGCTCATTAGCGACTGGCCCTATTCAGGCAGTTAACCTGCGGTTCTAGTGGGAAGCCGTTACCAGTAGGATACAGCAAGTGGGAGGTGAGGCAGTAACTCATCGAAAAAGACATTGCGAAGTGGTTGAGCTATATCATGAATTGGCAGAAGTTAGAATTCATGTACTGGCTGGCCATTGGATCGGGTCCCAGTGGCTTAGTGGTCTACGAGCTAGCTCGCCTTGTAACCAGAAGATCCTGGGTTCGAACCCTAGCGGTAGGTGTGTACTGATGAGTCCCAAACTAGGCTGACGAAACAGCTGTCCAGTACTGCCAGGTTTCCCAATGGTTCTCTAACTGATGTCAGCTCATGATGAAATCCTCCAACATATCTCGTTTTAATTTCATTCCACTTTTGATTACATTCAAAACAAATTAACAGTAAGTTATTCGGAGGTGAATAAAACAAACTTATGTGAATAAGGTATTTAATCATGAATGAGTAAGTATAATAGTATATGGAGGAATAACATTGTAATATAGCGGTTAATGGGAAAGTTTTGTTATACCGATGAAGCTTATTGATTTGAGCAGATGTGATACCACTGACAACAGATACATTGGCGTTGAGAAGAAATATTCAATATGTATTGACCAAGCCACAGAAGACAAACAGTCATTTTAGAAACCCTTAATCTGATTTTCAGGATACTGATACTTCCATTGGTATTTTTTAATTAACTTTCAAGACGCCTGTTAAACGATGCAGCTAGTGAAAAGCACTTCGGCCGATACACTGCAAACAGATGTAAGAATGTTTGAATTTGGTATTCGCATTTATCAAAATATAAGACCGAAATTAGAAATCGATATTAGTGATGTCTTGCCAGGTAAAAGAAAGCAAAAGCGCGTAAAAAGACTCTTTAACGCAGCATGGCAAAGAAGCCGTAGTCCCTTCGATTTTCCGAACAATATACGATTTGTGAAAGTGGAATGAGATCACTAACAACATATTATCTGTGTTTTAGTAAGACCACTTAAGTTTGAGTTAACCAAGGAGTTTGGAAAGTCACTGCCTACATGTCTGTATTGTGTATACAAGTTTAAGTCACATGTGAAAGTCTAACAATTTACTGAAAAGATCAAATGAGTACATGTCACAAGCACAACATAGTAATGGGTATCATCTAAACTTAAATACTGGGTCAAATCTGATGCTATCAACAAGTTGAGTATCAACGGGATTATTAGAAACAAAGAGTTAAGCAATTTGTAGGGTATCTAGAAACAAACCGTACCCAGATGATCTTCATGAAAATGTCGTAAAGATGTAGGATATATCACTCAAGATAGTGGAGAGTATTCAGTTTCTTATACAACAACAGGATCTTACACTCAACAAACTAATAAATCCACGAAGCTCTCCTAGCAAAGCGTGACCATAACAAACAAAATCATAATAAATACACAAATTTAGTCCGGTTGTGATGAAGTTATGAAAAATAAGCCTGATACTAACCATAACATTAAAAAATGGTACATATATATACATGTTTGATTAACTTAAATATCAATGTTTTTCATCCTAGCAAATCAATACTAAGGGAAACTAAGAAAACAAGTCTACAAGCCCTGAGTGCTTGACAGCAAACAAAACTATACATAACCCTAGACGTAAATAAGGTGCAGGCAACAATACCTGTCATACGGAAATCAGGTAATAAGATAGTGCATTTCACTGAATAATACGAGAGGCAACAGCATAAACCAATACTGGTAAAACGAATAACGTTAAGTATAGAATGAACAGTGAGCGAATGGAAAGGTGTTATGTCACATAAAAGTCTGTTCATCCAAAACCGTCTCGTGCTACTGACACATTTTATTAGTAATGAGCCTGGGTCGAAATTTTGAGCATTAAAACATCAAAAAGCTTAAGGCGAACCTCCGGGTGTAGGGCCTACCTGAATTTATTAAAGTACCTCTAATGCGCCATAATCCTTCGGAAGTATACTGTATTTGTGTGACGATTTTATGACTGTAGTGTGAGGACGGTTAGCATTTACTTATTTATTTATTATTACTATGAAGAGAAAAATACAGGCAAAGCTTATGGGATCACTGAAATAAACAGAAATATTTCGTCACCGCTTGTAGTATTCACAGTAATCATGAGGCCACTGCTGGCTGTGTGAACCTGTATCAAAAATCCATTTCTTGAGGTAGGCAGAATCTAACTGAGAATTAAGTTCACAGCATGCAACTGTCTATCGACAATGGAACATACTCGAATAATAGTTTTATGCTGAAATACCAGAAAAATAATAGACAGGGAAAAGGCTCCAGCATTTGGTAACATGATTGATACTCACTGTCTCAAAATTGATATCATAACTTATAAAGACATTTCGAGAAATGAGAATTATTGAAGTCATATCTGTTTACACATCCCAAAACCAGGAGAATGGAAATAGTTCAACTGCATTAAACGCTAACGCCCTATATTAACACAACATGTATACTGATACTTTCATTATAAACTAAAATCTGATTTTAGGTAGCTTCAAATTCTCACATTCAATAAACGCCGTCCCCCCCCCCACTACCTGATTATTTATTTGAATGACTTACCACTCGCAGTATCACCGCTATCATAAACAGGTACAACTAATCCATCCTCAGAAAACGAACTATAGGCCTGTGAAACAACTGAGCAAAATAACAGGAATATCAATCGACAATAAATAAAGGAATCCATCGAATACATCCAATTGATGCGCAGAATCTGAGTTCATAGTGAATTGAAGCAGTAAAACAAAACCCACTTTCAATCATCTGAGTGAAAATAATGATGAAGGCTGATGCAAAATGGGTTTTCATTCTGCTCTGATAGTACACCTTAACAGAAATTTCAGAGCAGTAATACTCAGTGAAAGTCTGCTGTTTAGTGCCGGATTGCTGGGTAATTAAATCAAGTGGATTCCTCATATTTGTATCTTGATTCTCAGCTATTTCAGTGGTCATGACACAACAAAGAAGTCGTGTGAAGTGTTTAAGCAGTAATTTGTTCACCCTGTTAGGTTTTTGTTGTCGTTTTCTGAATATTCTAAGTGAGTACCGCTTCCCATAAATCGCTTACCTAGACACTGGCACACACGTATTCCAAATACCTAGGTAATACTCCACAAGTTATTATCTCGGTATTTTATCACGCGACAGTCACAGTTATTTAGGAAAATCATATGTTTAAATAAAACTGTTTTTGTCAACTTTATACAACTGCAATAACTAAATGCATGAGAAGGTCGAAAGTTTTATATCCTTCTAACTACGACTTGCTTTTTCAGAGAGATAGAAAAAATTCTGCTTACAGCCTACAAGACGTTGCAATTACAACATTTCAGTAGAACTAGTAGCAGAAGAATATTTTTGAGTTCAGAATGTAGTATTAGTTGTTTAAGTTGGTTATGTAATTTTGAACTGCAGACAAGAATGACAACCACAGTTCCATAAGAAAAAAACACCTGAAGTGAGATGAAAATTAACACAAATTCAAGATAATGAAAAAAGCAGGTTATACGAACTAATATCACCCTTTTTAGACTGTTTATGTAGCAGAACTGTGGTTTGTAATGCGCTCCAAATGGGTGAACTCATTATTTTAGGCTGGAAAATTTTGGGTGGTGACTTCTAAATATTTTAAATTTTCATTCACTTTGCTCATGGGATTAAACTTGTTCTGACTATGACTCATTTTTCTGTGCCTCACATTCTGTGTGAATTAGACCTTAGTGTTTTCATGATAACTGCTATTTCTTCCGACTACCATAGACACAGGTGTAGTAAAAGTGTAGGGAATAAAAGAAGTTCGTTGCCTCAATTGAACCCCAGCCGTTTCACCCTCAGCGAGTAATTTGTTTATCCGCGTGGACTGAAAGACATAATTTTCAAGGGACAACTGCTTGGCAGCTCTGTTGTGGTGTTACTATATAGTTGTAAACTTTCTCCGAATCTTCGTCAACAAATACGTCTTTTCATATGAACTGTGATCAAGATCTGACTGGATAGTTGCAAAATAATTGAGCGCTGAGTGAGAAGTAGACATTTATAAAATTATATTTGTAAAATCTCAGCGAAATTGAAATGATTAATTCCAACGTTTCGTTCGGCAATCTGGTCCGAACTTCTTCAGGAAAATTAATCGAATTAAAATAAACAGAGGTTTATATATAAAAGGAACAACTCATGTTTTTTAAATTTTTGTCCAATCATTAGTCATGCAACAGTCATCAACATGTATAATAAATAAATAAATAAAATAGTATGTTTACATATAAAAGCACATCTCTTTTAAATTATTTGTTCAGTCATGTGAATCAATAAACAGCTATCAATACGTCTTTTAGCCGTAAGTGTTATATTCTCCCTTCGCTATTTGGGGCGATGTTAAGAGAAGTTTGGTCATCAGGCTAGATGGGCCAGGTTAAAGAGACAGCAGGTTATATGGCTAGAGCTAGGTTCTATCAGGATTGGTAGCCACATAACAATCGTAAGCACTATTTCTGGCTGAAGTTAACTGGAAGTGGTCTCGAATCTTTCCAAGCAACATAACCAGTTGATTTCCTACATGGGTATTGCAAAGAGTATAACCACAAAGATTTTGCGCTACTTACCTTTGACAGAGGGCTAAAGGCATCTGTACCGTGCGCGCGCCTTTCGAAAACTGTGCTACATTTGCTAGTTACATAAAACTCTGATTTTTGTGGAATATCTTATCAAAAAGTTGCGAAAAACTTTTACAATTATTTGACTTTGAAACACTGAATCTTTGGATATAATATTGTATATCAATAACACCTATAACTATCTATTGCCACTCTGTGCTTGATTAACACTAACAAATACCTATAATTGTATATATATTGATGGATTTACGTGTTCAAGTTGGCTCAAGTCAGTGAGTCTATGATTTTGGTATCATTTTGGTTAACTGCAATTGACTGTGATATTATTATTGTTGTTGTCGCTTGTTACCCTTCTTGTTGTGAATTATTTTCCTGTGCTGGTGTTTTTCTGCTTGTTTATTCCCTGTTTTCCTGGTTTTTAAGGGGAGCAACCCACAAGGTCGCTTCTCTCTAAATTATAAATTTATGTAACAATCCCCCTTCTCAGGCGTGAGGCTAGCAACCCCACCCTGTAAACAAACCTGCTACAGAAACTTCAGCACGATGTATCTCCTTGAGACAAAAGAAAAGGTTTTTGTGGGGACATGGAATGTCCGTACTATGTACGAGATTGGCAAAGCTGCCCAGATCGCAAGCGAAATGAGAAGATACGGACTACAAGTATTGGGGATCTGCGAAAGCAGATGGAACGGAAACGGACTCACCAAATTGTCAACAGGTGAGTCAGTGATTTACTCCGGTCACCCAGAAGACAACCACACACACCGAGGGCGTGGCTATAATGATGTCACCAACGGCAACCAAGGCTCTGATACAGTGGGAGGCGATCTCACCCAGAATAATGAGCGCAAGATTCAACTCCAAAGGAAGGAAAGTGTTAATTATACAATGCTATGCACCGACCAACAACGCAGACCTCGAAACGAAAGAAGAATTCTACAGACAACTGCAGACAACAATGGACAATACTCCAGCTGGTGACATCAAAATACTAATGGGAGACATGAACACCAAACTGGAATCAGACAACACAGGAAGGGAACTCATCATGGGTAGAGAAGCTCTGGGAGAAATGAATGAAAACGGAGAACTCTTCGCCGACTTCTGCGCCTTTAATGAACTAGTGATTGGTGGCAGCGTATACAAACACAAGGATATTCACAAGGCTACATGGGTGTCACCAGATGGGCGAACCGAAAACCAAATCGACTTCATCTCAATCTCAAGGAAGTGGAGGCGCAGCCAGCTGGACACGAAAGTAAGAAGAGGAGCAGACATTGGCTCAGACCACTATCTCGTACAAGGGACAATCCAAATCAAATTAAAAGCTTTCAGAGAATCAGGAGCTGCAGATGGGCCACAAGCCAAGTTCAACACTCAAAAACTGAAGGACCAGGACACAAAGGACATCTTCACTGCAAGTATAAAAGACAAAGCCCAGACACAAATCAACACTGGCGAAGAGGTCAGCGTCGAAAAGCACTGGAACAACTTGAAAAGAGTGTGGAGTCAAACCTGCATGAAAGTTCTAGGCAGAAAGAAGAGACAGGACAAACAATGGCTCACTACGGACACTTGGAGACTGATAGAAGAGAGAGGGATGGTGAAACAAAAGATTCTCCAGTGCACCGGTGAGCAACAAAAACAGGATTTGAATGCAAGCTACAAGACACTGAACAAAAGAGTAACGAAGAGTGCCAGGGAAGACAAAAGAAAATATTATGAAGTCATGGCAAGTGAAGCAGAACAAGCTGCAGGCAAAGGAAACCTCGCAACACTCTACCAAACTACTAGGTACCTATCGGGCAAACGTTTGACACAAATCAAGCCGGTGAAGGATGACAATGGAAAGTCACTCAACAAAGAAGTGGAGCAAAGGAAACACTGGGCTGAACACTTTAAAAGACTCCTAAATCGACCACCACCTACAACGCGCCCAGCAATACCAACAACAGAGACAGAGCTACCAATGAACACCAACCCCCGACGAAATCAGAAGTCCTGAAGGCAATCAAAATGCTAAAAGCTGGAAAAGCAGCAGGACCAGATGGAATCCCAGCAGAAGCATTGAAAACGGACCCAGAGACAACAGCGGCCTCGATGACGCCACTACTGGAGAAGGTGTGGAAAGAAGGCAAAGTACCAGAGGATTGGAAGAAAGGATACTTATTCAAACTACCAAAGAAAGGAGACTTAAGTCAATGCAAGAACTGGCGCGGAATTATGCTCCTGTCCATCCCAAGCAAAATACTAAGCCGCATCATCCTGGAGAGAATCAAACATGCCCTGGAGGAAAAACTTCGACCGGAACAGGCTGGATTCAGGAGGAACAAGTCATGCATTGACCAAATCGCCACATTACGGATCATCATTGAGCAAAGCTTAGAGTGGCAGTCACCTCTCTATCTCAACTTCATTGACTTTGAAAAGGCCTTTGACAGCGTCGACCGAGGGGTGATTTGGAAAGTACTTCGCTACAACGGGGTGCCACCGACAATAATACATCTCATCCAACAGCCGTACGACAATGCTGCATGCCAAGTAATCCACAATGGGAAACTTACGGAACCCTTCGAAGGGAGGACAGGAGTAAGACAAGGCTGCCTACTATCGCCAATGATTTTCTTGATTGCAGTAGACTGGATAATGCGACAAACAGTGGGCAATGAGGAAACAGGCATAAAATGGACACACACAAAATACTTGGAGGATCTGGACTTCGCCGATGATATATGTCTGATTTCCCACAAACTGGAAGATATGCAAGCGAAAAGCAACAAGTTGGCAGAAGAAGCATCAAAGATAGGACTTCGGGTGAACATAGATAAAACAGAGGTGATGAAAATTCCTGGGCAACACCACCAACAGCAACAACAACAGACAACAATCAGCCAGCATAAATGGAAGGAACCTGAAAGAAACAACCTCCTTTACCTACCCGGGAAGCATCGTTTCAACTACAGGCGGAACTGACGAGAATATCAAAGCAAGAATCAGAAAAGCAAGACAAGCTTCCACTACTCTCAAGTCTGTGTGGAGGTCAGCAGCACTCAGCATCAAAAATAACATCCGGATTTTCAACTCCAACGTGAAGTCAGTCAGTGC